TTTCCTCCCCCCCCCCCCCCCCCCCCCCCCCCCAAACCCCCCCCACCACCACCACGTCACGACAGACTGTTCACTCCCTCTGTCTCACGGGGATAAGGATCTTTATCACGCCGCGTTCTTTAGCATTTTACCTGCAGAGGGGTAATGCGCAAGGGGTATAGGGGCGAGGCAGCTGCGGTGGAGGCGGCTGAACTGAGCTAAGGGACACAAAGGCGGCCTGGGGGGAGCCTAAGGCGCGATGCTCGTGGCGGTTTATATTTTCCCTCCTGGAATAAGCCGGGTGTGAAATTTCTCCAGCGGTTGAGTTACTAGTATTGCCTCGCATTCTGTTGGGGGGGGGGGGCTGTGAAAGCAAAGCCATGCGGCAAGGGGGCAGGCTCAGGAGAAAGGGGGGAGGAGAGGGAGGCGGGTTGCTGCAGGCCAGCAAAGGTGAGCCCCGGCGGCAGTAGACACGCTCCCCGTTCGGTTTATAGTGTGCTATGCACGGGCCGGCCGGGGCGCGGCCGGGCGCTGCAGGTACGCTATCCAGAGCCCAGGAGGAGCAGGCCGACATTGTAGCGCTGTCTCCCACAGACGTCCCCACCCCACACCCTCTCCTCTCAACAAACACCCTTCCAAGAGGGCAAACGGTGATGCAGCGCGAGCTGCTGGACGGCCAGGAGTAGTACCCCTTCTCGCTGCCGCACGCAGACGCAGCCGAAAACGATCCGGAAGAGCTGTGTCATCATCTGGCCGAAAAGGTACACGAGGTGTAACATCACAGGAACTCATTTTTAACCTACTCATCTTTTTCTTTAGGTGGTATAAGAACAACCGTACGAAGAAGCCCTTAGTAGGTCAAGCTGAAACTGATACTCTCGTAGTAGGCTTCCCGGGAAAAGCCACACGCATACAATTTAAACTACCTCACTAGTGGAGCTTAAATATTTCACGCAAGAGTACACCTACACTCCAATTACAAAGGGACAGCTTTGTACCTAAAAACTGGACACATTTTGTACAGTTTTACACAATTTAATACAAAATGTAAATCTTTATACCATTTGTGCAGTTTTATGAAATAAATTGTCTCTTTACATTCAGAGTGCACCGAACACGCAATGTTAAGCAGTGTCCACTGGTTGGGGGAAGTTCGGAGGACGTTCGAGAGAAGTTCAAAAAAGTTTAGGAGACATTACGGTAAAAGTTTAGTAACGAGCTGAAGTGTTCAAATCAACAGAGAAATTTGTATAATAAATTTGGTTCCTTAACTTTGAACAAGTAAAAGAGATGCAAATCCAGTTAGTGTAGAGTGCACGAGTTTCTCCTCCCTCTCTCTCGCCAGACGGCGCGAGCGATCCATCGTGGTGAACGTATTCCACGGCTCGACAGGAACCGCTCACTATTTCCCCAATTTCCCCGTACCTGCTTCGCTTCCGGCGGCGCGTGGACCGCGCACCGCATCCTGCTTGCCGGAAAGCGGAGCGTGGAGAGGTGCGCGCCCAGCGGACGATCACCGCGCGCACCGGCCGTGCTACGCAGAACGCAGACCGCACTGCAGGGGCTCGAGGGGCTGGGCGGGCACATAGTACCCTGCCAAAAATTCTCGTCCGACTGACCGTCACAGGCCCTGCAGGTAAGAGGCGAGTAGTCTCGGCCTGCCCTGTATGGTGGGTTGGGCAGGTGGTTTAAGAGCGGGTAAAAGAGTCGTGGGTTCGTCTGGGGGTTTTCCTCTACACTGTTAAATTCCTACAAAGCATTGCTTTATTGCAGAACTATACGAAGTACTTTGATCCTTTGTAGCTACGAAGCATTTACTTTGCTATGTCAAAGTGATGCTTTGCAATTGCGAAGCACTGAACTGCGCGCTGAAAACACTGTAAGAAAAAAAAACACGGAAAAAACACAGAAAAACTATTGGTCAATTTTTGGCCCAGAACGTCCGTCCAAATCTGTGCTAAACCCATAGAGACGGTACGGAATCAAAGGTACAGAAGACCACGGAGCTTCTGTAACAGAAAGTCTGTACTACTCCGTACACTTAACACCTTTAGTGCTGGGGCTCAGGGACTGTCCAGCATGTTAAGCATACAAAGGTGTATGGTGGCAGAACGACAAAGGTGTATACCCAGAGTGCGACTTAAGTTGCCTGGTTTTCTGTAGCATGCACCTTTGCCGTCCTCTCCTAGTACACCTTGAAATTATAGGGTACAGAAGTGAGCCACCCGGTCCATGCAGCCGATCAGCGCGCTGGGAGAGTGCTCTACCGGACCGGAGACGGCCCAAACTAGGCATTATTATTTCAAGAGAGACCCCCAACTCCATAAGTCGTGACCCCAGGTACAACAAGCGGGTGCTTCCTCAGTGGAAGGCGCCCAGCGGCTAGAAAGTGCCCTCTGCTGCAGAGTGCCCCCGCTCGAGGCCCCGCACCGCCCCGCCCGAGCCGCGGTCGCAGCGCCGCTTCCACTGGCTGTGCTGCGGTCCCCCTCTGCGGCTGGCCAAAGTAGTGCGTGGCGTCGGAACTCCAAGGAAGCTTGGGAGGGAGGAGGGCTGGCCGAGTGGTGTGCGGTGCGGCTGTAGTTACGGCCCGCCGCGCCCCGCCCCGCCGCGCCACGGACAGAACGCACAACCACCAAACGAGGCCCGTTGTCCAAGTTTCACACGAGAGTGACGTGAGTGAAGGGCCTAACCAGCCAGCCAGAGTTGGGGCGGGGCTGACAGCACCTCGGGCTGCGCTCGCTGGCCCACACGTGGGGGAGGGGGCGCCCTGACAAATTGTTACCCTCTCATGTGTATTCACGTGCTTCCGCCGGCTTCACGCGCCGCCGGCGCCACTGCTCTGCTGCTGC